ATGATCATTACTAATAACAAACACCAAATTCTGTCTGTGACGATGTATGTCGCGTGGCGTTTCACCTACTCAAACTTAACCGATTGAGCTGGAATTTGGATGAATGGATCGGAAATTTTTATTAGGTTATCCCCGACCTTTTCTATTTTCGAAATTTTGTCTCTGACGCCTTCTGGAGACATTTTTCTTCGTTTCCAGTACAAATTTTTAGAAAATTATTGAAGTAATATTCACGTCGTTTCCGTCTAATCAACTTTTATTTTTTCTCATCTACGTTAGCTTAAAAAAAGAGAAAAAGAAATTTTCAGTATGGATTTTGAAGTTTGAAGGGAAAGGACTGGAATAGCTGGAAAATGAGAATGATGAAGAATAGGATTTTTTGAATTTTCTAGACTTTGAATTTGAACCTTAATTCTCTGAATTTACGAATTTGGCAAAATATAAATTGTTAAGATTATGAATTTAAACAATGTGGGTTAAAAAAACAATCGGTTTTTCTAAAATCCGGCCTTCGAATTCCAAAAATATGAGTGTTTTCGAACTTCCGAATATCTGATTTTGAAATGCAAAAATCGAATTCAACATCAGAAAATCGAATTCATGAATCTCCAGGTTTCTGGATTTTCGACTTTCCAAATTTCTAATTGCGAATTTCCGGCATTTCTGATTATCCGAATATCTCTGTTTCTATGATTTTTCATAATACTGCAAACTTTAGAATTTCTTCGAATGAATTTTCGTAACTTTGAATTTTGTTAAATATCGAAATTCCGAATTCCGCAGTTCGATATTATAAATTCGGATTTTTCACAATTCCGAAGTTCTGAATTTCCGGGCTTCATATTTTTTGATTTTTAGAAATTTCAGAATTATTGAACCTTCAAATGAATGAAAACTACATTTCCGAAATGAAAAATATGAGAATATCAGTTTGAATTTTGAGAAAATGAGGGTGAGAATTGGGAATTTCAGAAGTTTTCTTTCGGATGTCGTTTTCGTTTCATCACAGTTTCATAGCTTATATGTCAAGAGTCAAATTTTTTTCCATTTGATTCCGGGTATTGTAAGGGAGTCAGGCGGTTTAGCCCCGAAGGGGCGTGAACCGTCTGTTTTGCAATCATTTGGGTTCAATTTCAAACATTTGAATATTTGGATCTAATTTTGAAGTTTTTAAATTTAAAATTCAGAAAGTTCCTGTTATTCCAGTTCTTCTGAACTGTAAATATCGAATTACTGCGAAAAACGAGTTTTGCAAAAATGGAATCAAACGAACATAAACATGGTGATTTGAATATGAAAACTGACAGGAAGAGAGAAAAAAGAATGGAAATGCAGTCAGGAAAAAGAAGAAGAAGACATAAATTCTGGTTGTGAAAATACAAATATGGCGTGGGAAAGTCAATGACTGTTCAAGGTGAATTCGGGGGATGAGGAAGGGAAACCCGAGACAAATATGAATTTACTTTTTAGGAGAAAATTCGATAAATTTATTTGGAGTATTGGAGCACTTTGAGCTCGATTATCTCAATTTCTATAAGAGATATCAAAAATTTGTCCACTGATGAAATGTTGAGAATATTACAAGAAACATTTTATCAGTTGACAACTTTTTTATATATTTTAAAGGAACCGAGATAGTTAAGCTCGAAATAAAAAGCTAGGCGACCCTTCTATTACAGATTTTTTTTTGGTAATTGTTACAGTTAGCTAGAGAGCTGACTTTCAAAACATATGAATTTAGATTTTCCGAGGCATAAAAAAAGTTCGAGTTCGCTCCAATTCAGAAACAATGTAACTTGCTAATTCAACTGGCGTACTATTTCGAATGGTTCCTCATAATATCCAGTGCACATGCTGTTCAAATACAAAACACAAAATGATGGCAATTCTCTCTCTTCGAACAGACAGAAACACTCTGACTCATCTCTATTTCTCTTCTGTTTTTTTGTTGTTATATCCAGTTTTTTGACAGTTTTTCCTCACTTTACATGATTAACCCCGATGACATTTTGTGATGTAGAAGTATGGATGGTTTTTTGATTTTTACAGACTACGAAATTGGAATTTTTGGATTGGGAATGAAAACAAAATGATTGAAGGCACTGTGATTTGTTAGAGAATACGCAATACGAAAAGGCTTACACCCTGCAACATTGGAATAAAATTCTAATTCTCATTGTGCCCATTAGAAATGAGCAAATCAGTGTGTGTGCACATATAATGTAGAGAGAGAGACTTGAAAATTCTCAAAATTATGCATTTTCTAACCTTTTGGAAACAGACAGTTCTATGATCTTCCACATTTGTTTGAAGATATTCTTTCACTTTATGATTTTCGAATATAAAATCGTGTGTGGAAATTATTGTTTATTACATTGAAAATTATTAAGTTAGACAAAGATAAATACAAAAAAGGGAAATTGCAGAAGAATTGAAATGAGATATTCATAGAGAGATAGTTAGATACACATTATTGAGACGTTGGAGAAGAAGACGAAGAAGAAGATGATGATGTTGGTGTTGAAGATGTTGAAGACTTGGATCTCTTGACGATACGGTACTTGGAGTAGTCTGGTTTCATTGACGTCTTCTTTGGAGCACAAGTAGATCCCATGGCAGCAGTAAACAATTCGTTTACTTCTTCTTGAGTCTTTTGTTCCAGAATCATCTTTTGATTTTCAATGTAAGCATTGCATTCTCTCGATTTTGCCAATTTCCGTTGAGTGTTGATCAGGTCCTTCCTTCTGATTTTATCGAATTTCTGAGCCAATTTGTTGAGATGGTAGCTGTACATTCCCAATGGAGCGATGTGTTTTTCTAGAACTTTTTCCGTGAGATTTTCTTCGAAGGCGCAAATCGGACAGTCTGCATCAATCAATCTGTCGAGGGCGTAGGTTCTTCTGACTCCAAGCACCAGCCTTTCTGTATACTTTCCGACGTATTGAGTAGCAGTGAGTCTCTTCTCAATCTTCTTGATTCCACGGGATTGGATGATTGACTGGGCTGTCGGCGCCAATACTTGGCCAGACCTCCCACAAGTCTAGCACAAGTCTCCGAGCACATTATTGTATGTATTAGCTAAGACTTGTGGGAGGCTTGTGCAAGACTTGTGGAAGGCTTGTCCTAGACTTGTGTGTGGCTGTGTGTGTTTTCATTCAAACCTGTTGTTCTGTTGTGATTGTATTCGGAATTAGAATATACTACAACGTTTTATTAGAACACTACACAAAACGAATAATGAAAAAAAATAATTAAAATCACAAAAAAGTTCCACCTTTTCGTTTCCTTTTCTTTGAAATCCGTTGAAATTCATCGACAATGACAGTGTAATCGCATCAAGTCAAGTAATCTCATTTCCTCAATTTTTGCTTTGTATTTTGAAGTATCCTTTAGACGAGAACATTACGATTCAATTTCTTGCATCTGAAATACAAACGATAATTTTAAAAATTCTCAGTCTTTGAACTAATACCATCACTTCCTTTTCGAAAAATTTTCACAGTTCTGGTTTCGACGTTACTGACTTTCGGATAACAAGCATCCACATAATGTGCGGTGCAAATAAATTCTTCTTTACATAGTTCGAGTTGTCTTCAAATCCTAAAAAACGTTACTCCTGTGAGTTCCAAACATTGTTTTTTACTGAAATCGTGTTCATTTTCCACTGCGACACTCTGCGCATGCACAATTTGACGAAACTCTGAATCGTTTTCATAGCATTTTAAAACTCCCTGAAAAATGATGGATACCTTTCAAAAGAGATTCTTTGTCGACTGAAACAACAGTTTTGAAGCAGAATTTTTTGGTGGAATTTTGCAGAAAATTAACTTTTTTCATCCTCCGTCTCCTCTTTTTTCGTGAATCGAAATTCTGTATATTCAAGTGTTCGAATTCTGTAATATTGAACTCTTTAAAGCTAAATATCTCTTCATAATAACTCACGATATGCTCACGATGTGCTCACGACTCGCAGATTTATCCTTTTTCGGTTTTGCTTTTTTGAGTTGAAGTTGAATGTTCTGTCATGTTGAAAGTTATACCATTCGAAACTTCAAAATTTCTTATACCAAAAAATTAAAATACCTTCATAAAAATTCGAATCTTTATGAAAATAGTAGAAAAATAGGTAAAACCAGAAAACAAATTGAAAATTAAATGATGAACCCGAAGGTGAAAAATCAATAATCAGAATTTGGCCAAGACTTATAGCCTTCCGACTATGGGCCAAGACTTGTGGAAGCTATCACAGCGGCTCATGCAGGCGCATGCTTTGGCCAAGACTTGTGGGAGGCTTGGCCAACACTTGTAAAATCATGAAATTTGGCCAAGTATTGGCACCCGCAGCCGAGGACTTGGTAGAAGAAGATGAGGTACTGGATGGCATGTTGAACAGAGAGTAAGACGATAGAGAATGAGAGTAGTCGGTTAACTGATATTCAAGAATGAATGAACTAAGTAAGATGACGGTTCTGGGGATGAGTTGGTGGGCGGGGCTTATGGGAGGAACACCTGGACGTCTTGTATGTAGTGAGGAGGTTTATATTGACAATATTGGAACTGTAATATGACTAGGTGAAGGAGCGGTTTGCATGTGAAGGGGATGATGTGAAGAAGGATCAATGCCTCATGGGAAAACAAAATTGGTCCGAAAGTTGATGATAGGTTGTATATAATATTAATCTGAAAGGTTTACATAAATTTGAAAAAAACTAGGAAACTCAGTCTGTTTCAATGTATTAGATGGTTCGAATTGAGCTCATGCAAATGTTAAGTTTCTAGTCAGCAAAATAATTAAAGGTGGTGTACGGTGAAATTTTTTATTGCATCAAAATGTGCAGAAATGCATGTAGATTGACTTAAAAATAAAGAAAAAGTTCAAAAAAAATTCCTTCATCGAGAAAAACGCATCGAAAAATACGCTGAAAGCCCTTAGGGACGAGGTTTTTTCTAGGCCGCCCGGTGAGTAAAAGCGCGCGCATAAAGAGATAGTTANATACACATTATTGAGACGTTGGAGAAGAAGACGAAGAAGAAGATGATGATGTTGGTGTTGAAGATGTTGAAGACTTGGATCTCTTGACGATACGGTACTTGGAGTAGTCTGGTTTCATTGACGTCTTCTTTGGAGCACGAGTAGATCCCATGGCAGCAGTAAACAATTCGTTGACTTCTTCTTGAGTCTTCTGTTCCAGAATCATCTTTTGATTTTCAATGTAAGCATTGCATTCTCTCGATTTTGCCAATTTCCGTTGAGTGTTGATCAGGTCCTTCCTTCTGATTTCAGCGAATTTCTCAGCCAATTTGTTGAGATGGTAGGTGTACATTCCTAATGGAGCGATGTGTTTCTCTAGAACCTTCTCCGTGAGATTTTCTTCGAAGGCGCGAACTGGACA